TTAAATTTAAATAAAGTGGCAGTACTCATCATAAAAAAGTCTATCACAGTAAGGATGAACACAAAATATGCCCACAACAAAGATCCCGATATTGCCCACCCTTGACAACTAGCAGAAAACAAAGCCTCGGATATATGGTATATATATTGTATAGACTAATCTAGAACTAACTAGATTATGCTCTATACTTTTTCCGAAACCTATTATATGCTAGCTCGACTTAAGAATCTAGATCAATAGCAATATTTAAAAAAAAATTGTCTATAAAGTATAGATCTAGCCCAATATGCCCAATTTGCCTGAAGGCATGGAAAGGGTCACCTGCCCCCCCCCCCTTTTTTTTTGGGGGGGGGGGAGGGTTGAATGTCTATGTGGTCTAATGTATTTTTTAGAAATCCTTTATTTTCCTCCCCCCCCCCCCCAATCTTCTCTCTCATGACACAATAAATGATTATGCCTTTATTTGTGGCAACAAAATCACCTTTATATGTCTTCCACCGCGACCAAGCCAAAACACGTTTTTGTGAATGCGTGTTATAGGTTATTATTTCCAACCCAATGTGATATGTTTTTTTCAGAGTGATACAATCTTCGCACTGATCCATTGTGCATCTTTCTAAAATATTTCATGTTCTGTTCATCCGTTGTGTTTATAGTCCCATGATTAGTGACACGGGCCACATATGCATGTGCACGATGTTGTGTAAGTAATTCAAATTAGAAACCACATTTACGCTTACCGTAACAACAACAAAAAAAGTTACATATCTTTTATTGGACATTACAAAACCAACTGGCTGCGAATAAAACCAGAAGTGATCGAGTGAGAAACGATGTGATTACAAGAACTATTGGAACCAAACCCATCGTTAAATTTATTGAGAAGCAAAGAATGAAATGGTTTGGTCACCCAATGAGAATGGAACCAACGATGACAGCATCAAGAGCATACAACATGAAAATCGAAACACCAAGAGGCAGGGGAAGACCAAGAAGAATATGGATTGAAGGAGTCACGGACAACTTGAGACTTCATAACATCACAGCATATGAAGCGACTAAGCGCCCTGGCTCGGTTGCCGATCATCTGATAGACTGCGACACCTAGCGGCACAAGCAGATTTTGACAAAAGAAGAAGAAGACAAAACCAACATGAGTTTTTGTTGGTCGTTTGCGATTGTATCGGAAGTAGCTAGGTGCTTTGCTAACAACAAAATTAGTCACGTTCAACCAGTATGACCGAAGGAGGAGCTTTAAGTTATAATTGTGACTTCCATCCATCTATTTGTGAAAAAAACAAAACAAAATTGACCCCATTCACCCTACTGTGGTCTGGCTTCTTTGTGCCAATTATTTTGGCTAAGTTATGTTAACTGCACCAAAATATATTTGATTAGGGTTATGTTCGCCATAACAAATAGTATAGCAATGCACAACCACCGAAAGCCATAAAAGGGATTCCTGTAGTGTTGATGCGACCAAAAGAGCCAGACCCAGATACTTTCCCGACCGGCAACAAAGTCGTCTACCGGCGAGTCAATGGGCCGGTGTCGATAACTGTAATGGACAATTTTCCTTGAATTTATAGTTTATGCTGCTGATAAAGACTTTGATCGAAAGGTGCGGATATACTGGCGAGCGTCTGTACCATTTCTTCCGCTGAATTTTTAAATCAATTTTATGTTGTATTGTGCACTAATATTAGCTTAAGTAGTTTGCCATTGTTTGCTGAACCGAGTGTCTCGAAATTACAAATTGCCTTCAGAACAGCTAAACCACAGACGTTAACTTACACACTTAGCACTGTGAAATATTAATGAATAAGACAAGTGCTGACTGCAGCAGGGTATGACAATACAGATGAACAGACCGAAAAAAGAGTTTACGAATGCAGTTTCATAAATCTGATATGCTGGGACTAGATGTCCGTTGGCAGCAGATCTCTTTGTATCGATTTTCACAAAAGTATGAGCGTCAAATCTTTCTGAAAGAATGACAAACTGCAGCAAGTTAAATTGTCTGTTTATACCATAACAATCCCCGCCCTCCCCCTCCCCAAATGTTTGCTTTGCTTTTTGCCGTCAGCTAAGGGACATCTTGCTACTTGTTGCTACTTATGGTCCCTACGACATCCGAGGACATCAGTCCGATTCATTAGTGCTTCTTCCTGTGATGCAGCAGCCATCTTGGTGTCTACATTATAGCCAAACCCAGTTGGAGATGGCCGGCATATCTTCTTCCTTTGCCCTAGAGCAGATTTCCTCTTGCGTATATTTCTTTAACACCCATATTCAACAGACAGTTTATAGCCTCTAACTCTTTTGTCACAGCGTCTTTGAAAGGCAGCTCGTTTATTACTGGAACTTCCGTTCTTACCTCTTCCTCCACTAACTATTGCTGTTACGGCCAGTCTGTCGGCTCTTTTATTTCCTCTCATCCAAGTGTGTCGTTTAAAGAATACTCGAATAACAACAGAGATACAAAACGCATGAAATGTTTCAAATAATCAAGACGCAAGAAAGGACTATCACAATATATGGGATGTGATGCTATTTGGTGTAAACAGAAGAACAGACTTTTAA